CCCGTCTTCCCTGAACTCCTTCTACATTTTACTCAGTAGCCTAACCAGCTTTTGGGAGATGGTTGGTGGGGTCATGTAGATGTGCAGTAAGCTTTCGGAATTTTGATTTTGCCCCAGGGGGTCAAATGGGGGTCGAAAAATGACGTTTTTTAAGCAAAAAGCTCCGTCTTCCCTGAACTCCTCTTACATTTTACTCAGTAGCCTAACCAGCTTTTGGCAGATGGTTGGTGGGGTCATGTAGATGTGCAGTAAGCTTTCGGAATTTTGATTTTGCCCCAGGGGGTCAAATGGGGGTCGAAAAATGACGTTTTTTGTCCAAAAAGCCCCGTCTTCCCTGAACTCTTTCTACATTTTACTCAGTAGCCTAACCAGCTTTTGGGAGATGGTTGGTGGGGTCATGTAGATGTGCAGTAAGCTTTCGGAATTTTGATTTTGCCCCAGGGGTCAAATGGGGGTCGAAAAATGACGTTTTTTAAGCAAAAAGCTCCGTCTTCCCTGAACTCCTCTTACATTTTACTAGTAGCCTAACCAGCTTTTGGGAGATGGTTGGTAGGGTCATGTAGATGTGCAGTAAGGTTTCGGAATTTCGATTTTGCCCCGGGGGGTCAAATGGGGGTCGAAAAATGACGTTTTTTTGTCCAAAAAGCCCCGTCTTCCCTGAACTCCTTCTACATTTTACTCAGTAGCCTAACCAGCTTTTGGGAGATGGTTGGTGGGGTCATGTAGATGTGCAGTAAGCTTTCGGAATTTTGATTTTGCCCCAGGGGGTCAAATGGGGGTCGAAAAATGACGTTTTTTAACCAAAAAGCTCCGTCTTTCCTGAACTCTTCTTACATTTTACTCAGTAGCCTAATCATCTTTGAGAGATGGTTGGTGGGGTCATGTAGATGTGCAGTAACGTTTTGGAATTTCGATTTTGCCCCGGGGGGTCAAATGGGGGTCGAAAAATGACGTTTTTTGTCCAAAAAGCCCCGTCTTCCCTGAACTCCTTCTACATTTTACTCAGTAGCCTAACCAGCTTTTGGGAGATGGTTGGTGGGGTCATGTAAATGTGCAGTAAGCTTTCGGAATTTTGATTTTGCCCCAGGGGGTCGAAAAATGACGTTTTTTAAGCAAAAAGCTCTGTCTTCCCTGAACTCCTCTTACATTTTACTCAGTAGCCTAATCATCTTTTGGGAGATGGTTGGTGGGGTCATGTAGATGTGCAGTAAGGTTTTGGAATTTCGATTTTGCCCAGGGGGGTCAAATGGGGGTCGAAAAATGACGTTTTTTGTCCAAAAAGCCCCGTCTTCCCTGAACTCCTTCTACATTTTACTCAGTAGCCTAACCAGCTTTTGGGAGATGGTTGGTGGGGTCCTGCAGATGTGCAGTTAGGTTTCGGAGTTTTGATTTTGCCCCGGGGGGTCAAATAAGGGTCGAAAAATGATGTTTTTTTATGGAAAAAGCCCCATCTTCCCTGAACTCCTCTTACATTTTATTCAGCACTCCTTTTTTTGTTTTAAACAGTGGTCTTATCATCTTTTGGGAGAGTTCACTCTTTTGAAATTTTGTTAAAACATCAAGGTCAAGGGGTAAAAAATCATAGCATGTTGGGAGCCTCTTGTTATGGGTAATGTTCACTTGAAATGTGAAAGTCAAATCTCTTCTCAATGAAAAGGAAATACAACATTAATGAAAACTAAGTTAAACTTCAAGGTCAAGGTCACAGAGTCAAAAAGTCATGATACATTTTGGAAGGTCTTATCACAGGTAATATGAATGCCCTTTCATTTATCTTTCAAAATGATCAATTCAAAGCAATTAATTTTTTAAGGAAATTAGGTCAAACTTCAAGATCATGGGTAATGAAAATCATAGTGTATGTAGAATGGTATTGTCCCATTTAATACTAATACACATGTTTAATATAAAAGTCCTATCTCTTCTCATTCAAAATATATGACCATGATGACCAAGGTTAAATTTATTGTGACAGATGGGCAGATTGACAAACAAATGAGATTTAATGTACCCTACCTTTAGCAAAAATGGGGACAATAAATGTCTTTGCTGTTTTTGAGAAGAAGATTTATGTTGGAACAAGATGTGTTTGTGAAACACTACGCGCCCGGCGGCAACAAGGTTAAAAAAATCTTCTTTTAGCATATTGATCACAGTCAAGGTCACAAGGTCATTGACCATGGTGTCATTTGAAAGAACTTAATCGGTGGAGTATGCATACCAAATATGAAGTCCCTATCTCCTATGGTTCAAAAGTTATGGCAAAAAGTGTAAAAAGCTATTTTTAGCATATAGGTCACAGTCAAGGTCACAAGATCATTGACCTTGATGTCATTTGAAAGGACTCTATTAGTGGAGTATGCATACCAAATATGAAGTCCCTATCTCCTATGGTTCAAAAGTTATGACAAACAGTGGAAAAAGCTATTTTTAGCATATAAGTCTTAGTCAAGGTCACAAGGTCATTGACCTTGAAGTCATTTGAAAGGACTTTATTAGTGGAGTATGCTTACCAAATATGAAGTCTCTATCCCTTATTGTTCAAAAGTTATGGCCAAGGTTAAAGTTGACAAACAGACAAACAGATAAACAGACAAACAGACAGGACAAAAACAATATACGCCCGGGATCTATCGATCCGGGCGCTTAAAAAGTACCCTGCATATTTAAATGTAAATTGGTTGAAATTAGCCCAGTGGTTCTTAAGAAGTTAATGTGAAAAGTTTGCAGATAAACAGATGGACAACAGAAATCAGTACATTTCAGAAAACAGTATGCTTATAAATAGTTAATCAAGGTGCTTTGGGTAGCAAAATAAAGCTAAACTGGTATATCTAATTCATCCGCAGAGCTTAGTATATTTCAATATGCACAACCTTTTCAACTCTAATAATTATTTTTTAAAATTTATATCACCATGTCTCATTCAAGGGAGAACTAGAGATATGACCAGATGTATATCTGTTGAATATAAAATATGTACATGTGTTCTGTGTTTTTTTTAGTAATTTGTTTGTTTGTTGTGACAGCAACTGTTATGACAGCTTTTGGCAAAGGTTGAAGTTTCTCAAATGTAAGTCAAACTCCAAGGTCAAGGTCAAAGGGTCTAAATTGTTGGTATCAAAGGGAAAGTCTTGTCACAAGGAATACACATGTGAAAAAAGGGAGAAATCCCTAGAACTTCCTCACCTGTTCAAAAGTTATTGCCAAGGTTAAAGTTAAATTGGATTCAACTCTAAGGTCTAGGTCAAAAATAATTATACCTGTTGAAAGTTCACAATGATTACACATGTAAGAGCATGAAAGTCCTAGCACCACCTGTTCAAAACTTACCCCAAGTTCAAGGTATTTTTCTTGTAAAATTGGGTCAAACTCCAAGGTCAAGAGGTCAAAATTGGTGGTACCCATTAAAAGGTTTTGCCAAAAGAAATTTACCTATGAAATATTGAAGCCATGTGTATAGCCCAATCCACTTAAAAAATATGGGCAAGATTAAAGTTTCCGTGGACAGACAAAAATACATAAACATAGGAAACAAAATATGTATAAATAGTCAAATGAAAAAATTTTCTACTATTATGGAGTCATAAGATCAATTGTCATTTCAGGTACAGGGAGTCAGTGGCTATGGAGATCAGACCCCCCCCCCCTGGAATTAGCAGTTATTTAAATAAGACTATATATGTACTGTAGAGAATAAAAATGACTTTGGACATCCTCCCCCTTAGAAAACAGGGACTCCACCATCATTGTTTTTATTATTATTTTTTATTTCCATCTCAGGAAATCTTGGGCTGATTTTTTTGACTGAGGTGTGACACCCCCCCCCCCCCCTTTCTGAAAAAAAAAATTCTGGATCTGCGTCTGTTATATACTGAATGTCCGCAACGGGAGATAACTTGACAATGTGAAATTTGTCGACTGTGGCATGCGATGATGACCATGTTGACCCTTTTTGAACTTCAACCTAACCATTTGCATTTATTTATTTTTATGCAATCTGTACTAAATCTTGTACTTACCGAATGTCATAGGTCGTGACAACGAATTCATGAAATATAATCCATATAATCCAATTAAAACACAAATGATTTTAACTGACCACACTGCATCATCAGCATACATGTGCTAAATAATCTCATTCGACAAACCTTTGCTGATTCCGTTGCCAGTATGAATTGGCCGAGGTGTGCCGAGAGGTGATATCTATAAATATGATAATGGGTGACGCAAACCCAATGTGAATGTAGAAAATAAAACTGTTTAGTACAAGAACAAATTTCAAACTATCATAATAAACTAAACTATGTTTTTTAAAAAATGTGAGGGTGAGAGAGAGTGTGTGTGTGTGGGGGGGGGGGGAGATAGGCATTTACAAATTAATCGGGTTGTATTTTCAATGGGTTTTTTTTCCGACCAAATACTAAAATCAGTTTGCACATTTTGATAAATTCATCAAAAACGCTTTGTACTAAAATAATATTTTATGTCGTTGAGAAAGTAAATTTAAAAAGTTCCAAATTATGGGAAAATTATTTATTTGAATCTAATTAAGTAATTTACTTCAATCATTAATTAAATTCTGTTATTTCAGACTGGTTATGAATTAAGTATTTTAAAATACATATGTGAGGCTCAGAGTTGATATGGTCATCTGAAAATTTTATGTTCAATTTGACGAATACATGTACGGTGATAATTATAGAACTATTTTGACTTCTTCCTTGGAAAGTCCAATATGAATGAGTGTATATTTAGAGGCAAACACCATAGTGCGGGTATTACTGTCTCATGACAGCATCTAGTTATACTATGATTTTTATAGTCTGATTTTTTTTTTTCATTTTCAAGGTATGGTTGTGAGGATAGCCACTAGTATATTTGGAAATTCATTTCCTTTCCATAAAATGTAAATACATATTACCAGACATTGACTTAATACTTTACATGTGTATCTATATATAAAAAAAATTATAACTGTTCCATAAAGAGATACTTACATTTGTTGAAATTTCATTCTTTCTTTCTCGTTAACTGATGGGTGAGTCTTTTTCAGAGCAGCTTGTAAATGTGATTGGTTGATTTGGATCAGCTGACCTTTAGAGGTTGTCACTGGAGAGAACATGGAGTCCACTGTGGATACATGTTCTGTGGCCTTATTTACCATTAACCGACCTCTGATTTGTTCAACCTGCCGGAATTTTCAAAGAAGGAAAAATATAATGATATTTATAAAATAGAAGTCTACAGTAAATTCAAATCAAATTTCCTACAAAAAAAAATTCTTTATAAAAACAAGGCCAAGGTCAAAAGGCCAAAATTGTTGGTATCTACAGAAAGGTCTTGTCACAAGGAATGCAGGTGTGAAATATGAAAGCTCTATCATTAAAAGTTATCATGAAAGGTTATGGTCAAATTTCAAGTTTTTTTTAAAGTGGGTAAAACTCTCAGGTCAAGGTCAAATGATCAAATATTTTTACACCCATTTAAAGGTCTTGTCACAGTGAACACACATCTGACATGTGCAGTATGAAGGCCCAGGGACCAATTATTCAAGAGTTATGGCTATGATTAAAGCTTGGAATTTTTTGGTAGAAGTGGGTCAAACTCCAAGGTCACAAGGTCAGATTTCGTGGTATCAGAAGAGATGTCTTGTCACAAGGAATACAACTGTGAAATATGAAATCCATAGTTTCTCAAATGCAAGTCAGACTCCAAGGTCAAGGTCAAAATTGTTGATATCCAAGGTAATGTCTTGTCAAAAGTAATAAACCTGTAAAATATTAAAGCCCAAGTACTAACTGTTCAAAAGCTATGGCCAAGATTTAAGTATTTAAAAAGTGTGTCAACCTCTAATATCAAGATTAAGAGGTTAAATTTGGTAGTAACCTAAGAAAGTTCTTGTCACAAGAAATACACCTGTGAAATATAAAAGTCATAGCCCCATCTATTCAAAAGTTATGGGCAAGGTTAAAGTTTTTGTGGACAAACAGACAGACAGATGGACAGGGCAAAAACTATTTACCCCTAAATATTCCATTAGGTGGCATAAGATTAAATGAAATGCTTTTTAAACAATGCCCACTGTTTCTTCCTCACCTGACTAGAGAGCTTTTCCTCTACTTCCTCTGTGAGTGGCGAAGGACCATCCTGTAGTTTAGGAATGTGTGCAATCTTTTTATTGGTGGACAATTTAGGAGGCACTGTCTCTACTTTAAGCAGCTTTTGGCTCTTGGACTTCCTTGGTACTCTTGGACTCCTTTGGTTCTTATTACTCTCTGCTGGAGGTAGTAAAAGATCAGGGTTCTCTCCCTTTAGCACCTTTCCTGTTAGTTCATGGATGGCCTCTAATTGAGCATTGTATAATAGGGCCTTAATGTCAGCTCCTGAAAAGTGTTCACACTCCTTGGCAAAATATTCCAAGTCCACAGTTTTTCCCAGAGACATTTTTCTTGTAAGGGCTTTGAAAATCTTTAATCTTTCTTCCTATGAAGAACATGCAGACAGTTATAAAATATAGGTTCATTATCATATATTTTTTTACTTCAAGTACAGTGCAATATGAAACTATATCATAGTTTCTGTTTTTTATGTATTTATGTAACAAAACTTACAAACAAATCAATTACTCCATCGATGCATTGAGCATATTCTCCTGCTTATACATCTAAAGAGCAATAACTCTTTAAATTCTACACCTATTGCAGATTGCTAAAATGATAATGTTTTTACAAATGAATAAGTGAGTATAACTAAGTAAATCATCTATAACCTCGTTTGGGAGCTTGCACTGAAGACATTTATCTAATCTACCAGGACGAAGCAGTGCGGGGTCAATTAAATCCGGCCGACTGGTGGCTGCCAGTACATACACACCTATAGTAAACATAAAAATTCAACTTAGGAAGTCATTTATTTTAAATAAACAAATGCAACCATAAATTCAGAGACATTATTCATTGCAAAATATGCAATAAAAAAGTTACGGTAGATGATGCAAATAAATATTAAAACAACTACATAATACATCTTCAATGGTGATCAATTTGCTCCTAATAAAATAGTTTTGCAGTTCTGAACTTTTAAACATATATCACATTTTAAATTTTCCATACCCACAAACCCACATATTTTCATAAGTTATGCCATATTGTAAAATCCATAAAATATATGTTTAAGATAACAATAACCTACTTTAACTTCTTAATGTATATAAGGAAAAAAAGCAAAGAAAAAAATTGTTATCATGGTAATATGTGTAATGGTTTGGGCCCTGGATATTGGCCTGGGAAGCTTAGTCAGTAGAGCACCTGTCTGATTAGTAGCTTAGTCAGTTACAGCACTTGACTAGTGATACAGGGGTCCTGGGTTTGATTCCTGGCCCAGCCATACATTTTCTCCTGTTACATATGTTTAATATGTCTGTTATTGTTTGACCTACCTTCTAATCCCTCTACCCCATCTAACTGGGTTAACAGCTGATTAACCACCCTGTCTGTAACCCCTGTGTTGTCATGACCACGCCTACAATTTTAATATTATACATATGGCTACTAATAACATGAATGTAAATTTCCTAAGGTGGTTTAATACTGTACATGTAGTTCAATGCATTGTATTTCAGAGAGATTTTTAATATTACCCATTGATTATTGACAATATACTTAAAAAAAATTTACCTGGGAGCCAAAGAGTCAAACTCATCAAAGAATAAAATGCAAGGCTTGGCACTTTGAGCTCTAAAACAAAAAATATACAGCAGTTATAATAACTACATGCATTAGCTTAATTTCAGGTAAAGAAAGATAACTCTTACAGAACTCACCTTACAAAGTTATCCCTGACGGCTTGTTCACTAGCACCAATGTATTTACTCAGGAGTTCAGGCCCCTGACAATTTAAAGTACTGGGATTTATAATTATATTAGTCAAGGAATCAATTGAATGTGAAGTTCTTTTGTCATGTAAGAATTGAAAAGGAAAGGATACAATGTATTATGTACTTTCTGCATTATATATTCACATAGACATAATTTTTATCCTACACAGTATATACATCTGAATACAATTTTTGACTGACTGTATAATGTAAGTCCTCCTTTACCTTGATACTGATAAAGTTGAGTCCACATTCCTTGGCCACCACTCCTGCCAGTAGAGTCTTTCCTGTCCCTGGGGCCCCATATAGCAGTAAACCAGACCTCAATCTCAGAGGGCAGGAGGAAAATAACATGGGGTACTGTAAGTGGGGGAAAAAGAACAATCTTATAGTCATGCATACAGCAGTAAGCCTGACCGTAGTCTCAGCGGGCAGGAGGAAAATAACATAGGATACTGTAGGTGAGGAAAAAATAGTTCTTATAGCTATACAGCAGTAAGCCTGACCTAAGTCTTAGAGGGCAGGAGGATAATTACATGTGGTACTGTGGGTATGATTGATTGTTTATTGTTTAATGCCCCTCTCGAGAATTTATTCACTCATATGGAGATGCCATCACTTGCCGGTGGAGAGCTGCAAATTTTGTCCTTTACTCAGCCTCAAGGCCATTGAGCAGAGAGGGATCTTTTTTGTTCCAGCACCTACTGTGACATGGGACTTCGGTTCGTACAATCTCATGTCTCCATGTCCTAGAGTGGGATTCGAACCCATGACATAAGGATCAACCCCTTACTTCGCGACTCTAGAGCAGACGCTTTAACCACTGCCCCCCTCGGGCGACTACTGTAGGTATGATAAAATAGTATGTATATTCTTACAATTGTGGTCTGAGGAGACATATCAGAGCCTATTGCTATTGTTGTAAAATGGTACCAGAGGTGCGTATCATTACCACAACATTTTCAAAATTTTCATTACCGCTACATAGTCATTACCGCTACAGAAAAACTTACATTACCGCTACATAAAAAAGTATACATTGCCGCTACATTGCCTCTTTCGTTAACCAGCCTTTTATGCGTGTACAGTACAACCTATACATGCATAAACCCGTTTCCCTGCTCACCACGGGTAGGTAAAAGTAAGACTTTGAACAGGATGGTTGTTTTTTATTAAAATCAATTTTGTTTCATAAAAACATGTAAAAACCACAACAAAAATTAAAATCAAGTGCTGTTCATAGATAAAATTCTATAAATGACCGTTACATGTGCTTTGGAATACACATCAATCACAAAGCACTCTTCAACTTCTCGAGGATCCAAAAACCCAACCAAAGAAAACTTTCAACTGCTGTTCAAATTCTGTTGATCAGAACTCATATACCGAACCATACCTGGCTAAATCGATATATATGTATGTAGCGGTAATTGGTTGTTTTTGGCTGATTCAATATGTAGCGGTAATGAGTTGTTTTTTTGCCGGAAAAATGTAGCGGTAATGATCGGTCGAAAATCTGAAAAAATGTAGCGGTAATGAGTTGAAATTTTTTGCAATGTAACGGTAATGTTGACCTCCCCCAAGGACACAGGTCCTTGAAATGAATCATATAACTATGCAGTATTATAATACGTACTGCATGTTGCAAACACTATTGAAATAACGACCACTATTGAAATAATTATATCAATAGTGGTTGAGAGTGCATTTCAACAGCAAACATAGTTAGTAACCACTATTGAAATACGACCACTATTGAAATAATTATTCAATAGTGGTTGAGAGTGCATTTCAATAACAAACATAATTAGTAGCCACTATTGAAATACAACCACTATTGAAATGATTATATCAATAGTGGTTGAGAGTGTATTTCAATAACAAACATAGGTGATAACCACTATTAAAATACGACCACTATTGAAATAATTATTTCAGTAGTGGGTGAGATTCATTTCAATAACAAACATAGGTTGCAACCACTATTGAAATAATGTTCACTTTTGAAATTAAGATTTCAATATGGATTAAATTACAGTTTTAGTTTTGAAGTAATAATTATCAGCAACTAACAAAATAATTATTTAAATCACTTTTGAAATTATTATTTCAATAACTATCTAAATCTTCATTTAAGGACAGATGATACAAACAATAATTTCTAGAATATAAAGAAATTGTAAACCTTCTTTGATGTTTAAAATTCTGCCTCACTAAAACCATCCTTTAATATTAATTTATACACTTTAATTACTAATCTATATATTTTTCACTCCAAATCCAATTTTTGTGAAATTTTGGATAAAAAATTAAAAATGACACTGTGAAACTTTTCTTTCAATACTGGTCGTATTTAAATAGTGGTTGAAACCTATGGTAATCATAGTGAAATGCACTCTTCCCAACTATTAAATAATTATTTCAATAGTGCTCGTATTTTCGTAGTGATTGAAACCTTTGGTTATTATATTGAAATGCACTCGCACCCATCAATGAAATAAATATTTCAATAGTGGTCTTATTTCAATAGTAATTACTTTCTATTACGTTTGTTATTGAAATGCACTCTCAACCACTATTGATATAATTATTTCAAAAGTGGTAGTATTTCAATAGTGGTTATTACCTTTGTTTGTTATTGAAATGCACCCTTACACACTATTGAAATAATTATTTCAATAGTGGTCGTATTTCAATGGTGGTTACCTACTATGTTTGCTATTGAAATGCACTCTCAACCACTATTGATATAATTATTTCAATAGTGGTCGTTATTTCAAAAGTGGTTGCAACATACTGCATAGTAAAAATGATTACACATGTAAAAAAAAATAATGGAAATTACTCCGACAGTATTTTGTGTTGGTGAAAAAAATTTCAATTTTAGGCTTTGTCTGCATGCTACATCTACCTTTGCAGTTTTAAGCAATTTCTCAGTTGCAGTTATTAGTGTAGAATATATGAAAGAATATTTAAATATCAGTAACAATTTAACCTCTGTTGGAAGTTTCTGGTCAAATCCCTAAAATTGGGTCTCCCTAAAACTTCCATTATTATACAGACCTTAGAGGGCCACATTAGAGTTTCCATCAGTGTTTTCTTGACATCTGTGAGTCCCCCCACGTCCTCCCACCCTAACTCCCCCGCCTGGTGCAGCGGCACATTCCTGATGGATGCTGGCGTGAACCCTGACAAGGCCTCTGTGAAGTCTGACTGGGTGAGGACCATCTCTGGCTGAGGTTTGTCTGCTGACTGGTTAGGATCCCTCTCTGATGTAATAAAAATCAAACTCCATCATGATCAGCTTACTGTTACTTTGTATTTAGTCTTCAACAAATCTCAAAATCTATTAGATTTATAGAATATAAATACCAGTATATAAAATTTGAACTTTGAATTTCATTTTTATTTCTGTTAAAAACTGCCATAATTAAAGACACTGAGAAGATATTATTCCTCTTTGGAGAACAGTTAATCTTTCAATTAAATTCTATTACAAAGGTAAACTACATCAGTATTTCTCTTTTTATGATATAGTTTCACTTATGAATAAATCAAATTACAATATGTAATTTATTTCTCTCAATTTCATTTATCTGTAAATGGCCTATTTTTCATTAACAATATGTATAGCTATAAATTATTTTAAGATTTGTATGATTTTAAGAATTAATTCTCATCTTACTTTGCTATGCAGTGATATACTTTTATTCTGATTTTTTTTACTGCAGAGTCTGAGTTCTTCTAGCATTTCTCATAATTAAAGACAACTCTTGCTACTTATATCTCCACATGCAAGTAAAAGCTCCCCTTCAAGTGCAGACAACTCTCTCAATCTCTCATGTTAACAAAATCATCACTGATGTGAATTTCCAAGAAAAGATAAGTAAAAAGAACAACAATAAAAGACATTAGATATTCTCATGAATCAACAGAGCAAATACAGCTTAGTTTAACCTCTATAATATTCAAAACCTAGACAAATATTCTGAACAAAATGCAATTATTACTACACAGTCAGAGAGAGAATGACTCTGACATGTGGTATAAATTAAGGCGGTATCTCCCATATAGTTTGAGGTCTGTTACTGTCGACTTCTTCAACTCACAAAAAATGTCCACAAAACATTGGCACAAGTCGACAGTGTGCCTTGACCTCTTTTTATAAATACATGTACCCTGTGGGTGATTTTGCTACCTATACATGTATTCTGTAAATTCAGCATGTAAACAAGTATTTTTTTTATATCAAAATCATGCAATGTTGTCTAGCTGAAATGGAAATAGAGTAAATCTGGTGAACATTTTATATCAATGGAAAACAGAATTTTTTTCTATAACATCCCTCCAAAACCCAACTTAATTAAACAAAAAAATATCAAAATATCTTTTTTACAAGTATTATAAAATTTTATTTGGCTAATTCAAGTCAAGTTTTTGTTGTGTCTAAAGGGAAAGGTTGGGGGGAGGGGTATGTCATATATTTACAGGCATTAAAAGTCAAAACAATTTCAAAACACAAACAGATACACATATAATAAAATGGTCATTTTATGACCATTTCAAATGAAATTCAACTTTAAACATTTACTGAATAAATCTGATACCTGTATAGTTACTAAATATCAACAAAAAAAATTGTGAACACAAAGAATTAAGAGATCTACTAAGTATGTGTATCCACAAATTCAACATCCATATAGAAATTCCTATACAGCTGTATACAGTAAAACTCGTTTAGTACGAACACGGATATACATGTAGCGAATTCACGGATATAGCGAAGTTTTTCTGGGTTCCCGGCAAAATTCTTAACAAATTTTTGTAAAATTTTACGGTTATAACGAACTCTGATATAATGAATTTACGGATATAGCGAACTGATTTTGAGACCCGTTGAGGTTAAACATAATGAAATTTACATCTTTTATAACGAACTTTCCAAGATTATCAAAAAATTGATAAATTGAACTGACTTTATTTCCTTTTAGCATTAGTATATGAAATTCAATTCATAATAAAACCTCAATTATAGAAGATATGTTTTGTAATATTTGCTTCCCTAACATATTTGGTAGTAATACCTGAAGGAAAACATGCATATTGCGAATTCGCTATCATGGTTATACGAATTCGTTATACGGATATAACGAATTACGGATATAGCGAACTAAATTCATAGGTCCCCAGGACTTCGCTATAACCAAGTTTTACTGTAGTATTCCTGAAACTGATCTTCTATTGTGCTTTGCTCCATCCCCCCTCCATCCCGCCCCCTTTCCATGATTTGAATTAAATTAAATGTGCTCTACTTGATGATATGTTGGCTCTGCTGTTTTTGAGACAAAGATTTTCCCTGTAGCTAAATATGTATCCCTATGTAAAACTGTATGACTGAATGACTTTATTCTATTTTTCAAGAGGAGATTAATTTTTTTTTCCCTTACAGCCCATATGAAACTCTGATACCCCTTTTGTGATCCCATCCTTTCCTTGTAGGACCACGATTTAAACATTAAACTTGAAATGATCTAGACTACCTGAGAAGACTTGCATGTCAATATGTCTATAATCATAGGCATGCTTTTTTCTGCATATTCTCATTTAAATTAAAATTCTGACCTCATTGTGAACCCTATCTACTAGGGCTGGGATGATACAACTTTTTTTCTATATTGATATGTATCATGATATTTGAGCTATGATATAAAATGTTACTATCAATCACAATATAATATATCATATGATTAATTGGTTATAGAATAACTTTTGGTATTGATATTTCACAAATAAGAACAATTTATTCAAAGAAGTTGTATATTTGTTGTTAAACAAAATTATTTTCACAAATGGTGTCATTAAGTACGTACTTCATATTTATATTTATCATTCTAGTATTTTATTTTATATATTAAACCCAACATATATTTACAATGAAAATGAGTCATATGTCAAACAAGAAATCTGCTGTTGTGGGAGAAAGAATTGAAGAAAAATTGCAATTTCAGTTAAACAATTCAAATACAGGTCAAATTTTCATTTCTAGTGAATTTTGGTGACTATCAATATTAGGGTTCTCATGAAATGGGTAAGAAATATTTGACATTTTGTGTACATTCAATACACATCATATACATGTATGAGATTTTTCACTATTTCTTAATTGCCTCCCCTTAAAAGATTGTTTGGCTTACTCTCCATTTGAATAACTTGAATTTCTTTCACCCAGTCACGTTCTGACTCAATTTTGGTAGGAATTTTTGACAAGCTGTAATTTCAAGAAGTCGCAAATAAGAAAAGTTTACAGAGAGCATATGTTAATGTAGATTCCTATAAATACATTGTATATTCTCGTAATCAATTATAGCATTATTTCACGAGAACTCAGAAGCACCATTCAGATACTCCTTTTATTTTTATAGTTTTAAAATCAATCTAAAATCTCTTGATTAACCTTTTATTTGAAAATTATATTCTTGCAATTTGACCTCTAAAAGTCATTTCATGAAATTATATAAGTACTTGTGTACATTAAGGAATCTACAGTAATACAGATAGACAGACCGATCAGACAGCTCCCTTTAACTTAGTTGAGTTAATGAAAAACGTAAACATAATATTAATGCATTCAGGGACAAATATCAATTCAAGTACAGTCTAATCTTGTTATCTCAAACCCAGGAACAAGTCTGATCAGGAACAACTTGGAGATATCAGAAGATTCAAAATGTATAGAAAAAATATTTATTATAATAAAGTATTTGTTGTTATGTCTTCCAAATCACTTTGACCTATCCATGATATTTTAAATATCAGTGTTTGAGATATCAAAGTTCAACTTTACTTATCAAAGGGTATATTTTGTCTGTATTTTCCTACCTTGCTTTATTGTATGTGCGTGGATAGCTCGACTGACAAGATTTTCCAGGTCTTGAGCTACATAACCCTCTGTTCTTCCCAGGATAACATTAAGATCCAGCTCCTCTAATGTCTGCTGGGAAACCATGTGTCTGTTCCTGATGATTGCTCTAAAGATCTCTTGTCTTTTTTTCTGGAATAAAAAAAAAATAATATTACAGCTAATAAGGATATCGTTGATATATATATATATATATATATATATATATATATTGTTTTCCTTAGTTAACCTGATGTATTACTGTAGATCACTATATTTTCGCGACACATTATTTTCGCGAGATAGTCATTGACTCTTGATAAGCGAGACAAAATTTTCACAAATTGTGGTTATTACTCTATATAATCTTAAGGAATGCTATTATATGAGAGAATTAAATTTTCGCGAGCACACAGTCTCACGTAATTACGCTAAAATAAAGTTCTCGAGAATAAAAAGTGATTTACAGTAGTAAATCTTAATCAAAGGTAAAATTACAAAAAATAGAGTGTAATCTTTAAATTTCCTTTTTTTTTTTTGCATTTTCATACATGTATACACTAATTGTTTATGTATTGCATGTAAATATGCATGAACAAAAAGAATATCTCTCCTGAATAAACCTGATTTTTCATGGGTGGAATTCTTTTTCACAATTTATTATGGTAAAGATTAATTCTCCATAAAATCAAAGCAGTTGAGAAATTAACCCATTGCTGATGGATGGAATTCTTTTTCACAATTTACTAAGGTAAAGATTAATTCTCCTTAAAATCAATTCAGATGAGAAATTAACCCACTTCTTTCTGAATACATATGGACTAAACATTTAGAACCAAATAAGCATATCAGTATAAAGTGAATAAACAGAACATGGGTTAACATTTCTTCTTCAGTTTAATTTCTTTTATTACTTTTAATAATTCATGTTATATTTTGCTGCATAGTAAACTATTCCTCAGTGATCAGTTACAGTATTATATAACCTCTACCTTGTCCGGTGGATTGATTCGTATCAGTTCCTGTAGGAAGTGAGTCCCTCTGGACGTCATCAGTAGGGGATGAATGGAGTTCCGTGACTGACTGGTCGCTATGACAGCGAGAAGACCTCCATTGGTAATTTCTTTCCTCAGTATGTCTCTTATCACTAAAATGATCCAATAGTAATTTAAAAATCCATTCTTCATATTCATGTATTTGCTGATCTGTACAACAAAACTTACACATTCTCTTTCAGAACCTTCTCTACACTGTGCACTAGCAGTTCTGATTCTGTTGTATTTTTCTGCAGTTAGAGTGATCTGCCCTTATAGATCTAGATTCAAATAAACTGAAATCTACAGAGTCTTTCTCATTTTGTAATATATTCAAGCATTCTTAACATTTTAAAAAAACCAAAATAAACTAACTGAACACTTCATTTGAATATATTTTATCCACTGAAGTAATTAAGGACATATGCAAGGTACCTAACCCACTGATATTTTTTCAAGATATTCTTAATCTAAACTTATACCATTACATGTTCTTAGACAAAAAATCAGCATGTGTTACAAGGGCTTTTGAAAAGATATCAAATTATGAAAATTTTTGCATTATTCAAAGAAAAATGTACCAAAATTACAAAACATTAAGTCCAGATTTTTTTTCATCAAAATTTGTTTTAGAAGAGGTGTACAAATTCATATATAGACATTAAAAGCACTGCACACAGGTCCTTCATTTTAGTGGAACTCTTCAACTCCAGGGAAGAACCCAATAAACTTCAAACTATGTTGCATATGACCTTAAATAGCAACAATTTCTGTTCATTAATACTTTGTTGTCTTTGGATATTTTTCCTGGGTATAAATGCCACATACAATTTATTGAAAATTAAAAAGATAAGCTCAAAATCTACACTTATATACGATATAGTTTTCTCAACGTTCCAAAATAAATGCACTGGTGTATAGAGGGTCCTTAAGGGCAAAAACTTTCATTCAAGAATGTACATGCAGTCAAGAGAACCCGGGGATTTAATGTTTTGTTGTGGTTGGTCATGAGATCAAATACTGTGACTAAAAGGCTTCTCAGTAGATTTGACTGTGTACCAACCAAGTATTTTTTATGGATAAATATGTTTGCTTACATGAAATACAACCGGTTTACTTGAAAAAAAAAACGTGTCATACATGCATGCATATATGGCAGGATCTTTATTTACGGTATAAAGAAATTTTTACTCTTTCAAAAGGCATTTGTAGTACAAAACAACAAAAATTTTTTTAGTTAACACAGTTTATGCTGATACTAATGCAAATCCAAACTACAGTTGTATTCCTAAGTGAGTGGTATTACTATTTTGGCTACTTATGACATACCTTCACCAATTCTAGCTCCGTAAATTGCCTCGCCACCAAGTTCTGCCTCGGGGCCAGAAGGGGCAGGCACCACATGATCTAAATCATCCAGCAGAATTATAGACGGTTGTCTCCACACTGCTTCATCAAATACCTCCTCTAAGTACTTCAAAATACTGTCTGGACGTTTACCTGAAAGTCAAAACATTTATCTTTTAATCTTTTCTACAAGGATGCTACAAATAGAATTATATTTTGCATTCAATGAAATACTTGTAAACATCATGAAATACTATAGGTTCTTGGCAAGGTACTTTTTACTCTGTACCAAATGTCTTATGCAACAAAAATGAGCAGTTTTTTTTTCCTGTGATGAAGGATGTGCTTAAATATAAAAACATAAGTGAAATGAAATCCGTGCTATATTTGTACATATATATAAATAGATATTTCTAAAATCTGATTGATATTGAAAATACAGTACACCTACCCCTGAGTGGTTTACACTCAACATAAAAGATATGAGCCAAGTTTTCTTTTTCTGCCATTTTTCTGCATAAAGCTTTGGCAAGTGAACTTTTCCCACTTCCTCTACTGCCAGTGATGAGAAGCATCCCATTGCTCAGCCCTGGAGTGGTCATGTTAAACATACCATCAGCCAGGGGCTTCATGCCTAGGCAAATTTCCAAGTGTGACAATGCTTTGGGTATGTACTCTTCCACACCTCTAAAGAAAAAGAGAAACAATTAATTCTTAATTTCTTAAGCTATGCTCTAAATAAAACAATATGCATGCAGTGTTACAAATTAAAACATTATTTTCATGCAGACATAAGTAATCAGAGATTACATAATGTTGTCTTTAACCTGGCCACTCATCATTTAATTAAGTTTTTATTTTATTATCTGTACACTTTCACAATAATTCGAAGCAATTACTTGAATATGTTTATGTATATCCCAAGTTTTACTTGCTTGATATTGATTTCAGATGAATTTTTGAGAGCCTTACCCTAAATCAGAGAGCTGTGTCCTAGGCAGCATGGGGTCAATGGTGTCTAAATTAGTGTATTGCAGCATGGGTAGTACAGGCCACTGTGGGGGAGCATGGGAGTCCGGTATGACCACATTTAATGGAGCATCATTCATATTGCCCTGGTACACTAAGCTGTATGGGGGGATATCTGGATCTTGTTGGTGGACTGTCCCTGGGAAAACTAATTGGAATTCCATGTTTTTGTCTGCGGGAGAAAAAATAGAAAATGATATAAAATTAGTTCATTTATTGTGGTTGAACAACTTCAGATTTATAAATTTAAGTTACTTTCAGGCAATTTTCAAGAAAGAACTGATGTTCTTTTATCATGACATCAAATTGCATGCAAATAAATTGTTTCAAACTTTACTGTTGAAGTATATGTACCTTTAAAAAGTGGAAAATCTACTATAATTCCACTGAAGACCACCAGTGGAAGATTTACTGATGTGGCTACAGTTATCCACCTCCTAAATGCCATCTCCACCATCTGACTGGTGAAATTAGGGGGCTAAAAGAAAAACACTTCAATTTTAAGCCTTTTACTATTAGTCCATAAATTCCGACTCTTATGTTAACTGTAAGAACTAGCTCTTTTTTCTGTTTTTTTTTTTTTATCAATGTTAAAACTGAGCAACAGTTTTCTTTAATCATTTGCAGAAATCAAAAGAATTCTGTGATACTAAAAGATGTAAATATTCAAGTACTGGTAGGAGGGGTACATGTACAGGCATATATATTGTTTTATTTCTTTATACTAGCTACTAAATTATTCATATGGACTACTAACTAGACTTCCCACTGGATAAACTTCATATGAAGTGGGCATGACAGGAAGCGTAGATATCGTCTGCAGCCAAACACAGCTGGTAGCGTCCAGCTTCATCAATCTCCGGAGAGTATCAGGAACAAGCACATGGTGGCAGAGTATTGGATGATCTCGTGTCACTTCATTCAGCATCTGTTCACAGTGTACATTTGTATTGGTTTTCTTTTTGTCCAGCACAACTACTCTCACAATGCACTGTGTCAAGTGGTCTTTCTCTTTAGATGGCGGATCTTTTTCATTCTCACCCTTGGTAGATCGGACTGATTTCTGTTTTCCTTTGTTCTTTTCTTCATTCAATTCTTTTTCCATTTCTGCCATTTGAACTTTAGGTGAGAAAAGCTTTGAAAGTCTGGCTAAAAACATTCCAGGAACATGTAAACTCATGTTACCAGTTTGTTCAATGATATCCTCTGTATTTACAAAAACAACAGCTGGCTGCTGCAAGAATGGGCACTCTTTGAGGTCCTCTGAACTTGTTGTTGGACTTACCGGTTCTTCTTTTTTCCCCTTTTTCCCCATATTTCTTATTCTTTGTGGCTGAACCCGAAATGCTAAATTTAGTCCTTCCTGAATAATGTCCATCTTCTTATAATCAATTGACTTTTTACGAAAGTTTGGAATCCCACGGAATGGCTCCTGGATCCTATTGGAAGTGTTCTGCACACCCAGTAACCATGGCACCCATTCCTTCCAGTTCCATTTGGATGGAATTTCCATTCGTGAAGAATACCCATCACTAACAGAGCTATTAGAGTCAAAACTTTTCTCACCAGAAAACTTCAGTTTATCCTCCCCTCTAGCTGGGGAAGGACTATGTTTCCTTACTTTAGAGTCACTGAACGCACCCCCTCGGACTTTAGGAGAAACAACAACCTCGGTGTCAGTGACTAGTAATACACACTCCTCTGCTGGATTTGTAACAGCTACAATTAATCATAAGTTTATCAAGCATTCAACACATTTTCAAATAAACACTTCACACTTTAATAGAGATACATGTATTTACAGTGTGCATCTTTTGTACATTTCAAATGTTCATTGGTTTTCTTCTCATATACAGTCTTATTAAAATCAGATCCATAGATCCACTCATACATGTATATATTGCTACAAAAACTGATTTTCAGGAAGACACACTCTCTACCCATTCAAGAATTAATGACACCACTCCACACTTACACTCAGAATCACATTAAAAACTCATAATCTCTATCTCTGTGGGACACTCACAGAGAAAGGACTTAGAGCTATTCAAGGATTCAAGATAGTGTATCAAGGGTAAAATACAAATAGATGGGTTGTCACTTCGACATATATCCATAATATTTGAGATAACAGTGTTCAAGATACTGAAGATTAGCATTATTTACAATTCCATCAAATGTACTGTATATACCTACTGATTTTCAGGTAGACACAGACATTTCTCTCCACCCACACAGGTAAGACCAGACCGGACCATACAACCCTCACCTGGTCAAGCAGGTGAGATTCCACATAACTGGCATGCTTTTCCTAGCACAAAACAAAGTCACTTTAAGCATGAATCGACCATGAATTGAAAATATTTGCAACATTGTAAAATTCATTACAGCATGTACACAAAATGTTTACTTAAGTGCAAACTCAGAAAATACTTAAATAATTTCCCTCTAATAGTATGATAAGAAACTGAACATAAAATAGTAATAAAGAAAAAAAAACATCTGATTATTTGAATCTTTTATCATAGCTTTTTTTCAGATTACCTACCAAAATTTCCCAGTCATCACAGGACAGTGGTTCAATAGACACCTGACTGCATATAGGAACATTTCTTTTTACTCTCACAATGACCTGTAGAAAACACCAGTACAGTACTGAAGCCAGATAAAACATGCCTCTAGTCCAAATTAATATACAGTCCCTTTTTATGACAACCTGATAAACTCAAATGCAACATTTCGTATAATTAGAATTTTAAGCATCTGTTGGTCACAAATTTAATAATTTGACTTCAATACTCCTGAAAAATTAGTACATAATTTTAGTGAGAAGTAGTTTATTGATTTTATGATATATAGAAATATATAATGTTAACCTCCACTGTAAAAGGAATTTTTAGGGATATTCAATATTATATCAATCTCAATACTATTTCTAGAAAATTGAAATAATAAATAATTGAATTTCATATACATATCAAGTTATTTCAATATGTTGACATTCAACCTTTGCCTCAGTATTTTTCTCTTTCTACATCATTTCAATTCAACATATTGTTTTTTATTTACAATTTACATTCTATATTATTTTAAGGAGCTATTTGTAACAAAAGAGGATGAAATGAAAAAAAAAAATTACACCATTTTTTCTTTTAAACAATTTATATCTTATCAAAATATTCTTAAAACTTTACGAAAAATCCTTTGTTCATGAAACAAAATAAAGTTCCTTTACGAGCAGCGGAGCCCAGGAGGAGTGGGGCATTATGATTATGCTCACTGTACACCTTGGCTAGTGAATAAAAGCAGATGCATTAAAACTATATTATATTCTAAGTTGTTGTTTGTTATAATATAATGAAAATACAGTTTCACATGCAACTTTGTTTCTAATAAATCATTTTTTTTAAAAAAGAGACATACTAGTATCTGTTAACATTTGAGTATCTAAAAATTGTAACCTGTTGTGTATCTTTCAGTTTTAGTTTCTCTGCAAATAATCCATTAATTCCTAAATAATTATTTGAAGTGACATCTTTAACTGATGCATATACTGTAATGCCATCATCTGTCTGAACTTCAAACACCAGTAACTGAAAGAAAGAAAAAATATAGTCTAGGTCATGTTTACATCTCCATAGAGATAATTTATGAGTAAGTACAAGTGTGCATTTCGTTTTGATAAAGATGATCTGAAAATTATGCAAAGTCAATAAAGATTGAGCATCTATGGATGTTACTAGGGATCATTATTTCTTGTATCAGTGTTGCGGTGCTTTTCCTTTGAAGACCACAGTGTTTTTATTTTTGATACATCATGGTTAAATGTGATCTAACAACCATGCTCATCAAGATAGAGCACACTAGGGTGATGATGAAACAATTCTGATAAATGACCCATGACCTTACACCGAATAATTAGGAAAAAAGTAAATACAAAGTCATGTAAACATAATGAAGGAATACCTTCTGTATTTAAACATAAAAAAATTAATTTTGCACATCAATTTCTAAATCCAATTGAAAATGGAATTCATACAGCCCACTTTTAAATGAATGTTTTTGACTCTCATAAACTTGGAGCGTAACAAAGCACAAACAATGAACTACAGGAAGTGAGGTGAATATTCCGAGCCGTCTTGTTTTATTAATTCCAACACAAATCAACAAATCCAGTAATTTGGAGAATCACTATACATCTTGGTCAAAAGTGTCCATTTTCCCGTGCGGTATTCCTAGAACGTTTAAATTGCCCAATTGGTATTTTTACGAATGTTTTAAAGATTAAGTGACATAAAGAATTTTCCTTCATAATTTCAGTTCTAAAGTTTAAGAAATACAGTGCCCTCTACTTTTCGAATCACATGTACCTTTTTCATTGGTCAAATGAAATATGTCTGATGAAATTTTGATAGATCATGGCTAACTCATAGCTGCAGAAATGTATCTCTCCAAGAAATATATTGATAGACCAGAGAGCTACAGTGCCACCAATTGAAAAATCTGTATATTTATTGCGCACAAAAAGTTGCGCTTGTGTGTGGATTAATTCTTCCAAATTCTTACCTCAATTGCAAAAAAATTAGATTTCAAAAAATTCTGTACTCTTCTATCAAGTATTTTCATAGTTGACATCTACAGGAAGCGTGTTGGGGCGAATTATCTTACAAACCAAAATGGCTGTTTAAACAGACGAAATTTTCGATGATCTCGATTTCAGGGCCAGTAGGGCTATAAACAACAACTATAAGGTATGTTTTGTTGTGGAAACAGTGAAAGATTATGCTAGAAATACACGGTTAGTAATATTTTGAGATCATAGTTTTAAAAACATGGAGAAATAAATCGATAAACAGCGCACGTTTTTCTGAGTAATAAATATACAGTTTTTTTTCAATGGGTGGCACTGTAGCTCTTCGGTCTGTCGAATTAATTTTTTGGAGAGCTACAGATCTGCAGCTAGGCTAACTCAGTGTGCGAATACAGTTGAACTACGTGCTATTAATGTAAAAGTGAAAGATCATGGGTACTAGTAACTCAGTTACTGGGAACAATGATACAAAACATATAGGCCTAGATTACCTTTTAACTCGTGCATCTTCAATATCAGACCCGGGGACAAGCCCCCTCGTCTGATATCTGAAGATACACTCGTTAAAAAATACTCTATATATTACTTATGGTTTATATAAACGGTCAACATTCTTGAAAATGAAAAGTGAGACCCTAGAGTTCCTGCTTCATTTACTCCATTTATGACAGAGATGAAGATTAGAAATGAAATACCTCTGACTTATTCGCAATTTTTTTGATAATTGGAGATGGTAATGATATAAAACAATTCTTGTCATTGCTGAAATGTACTGGAACAACGTCAAAACTCATTTTCGTTCTGCTTTCTGCCTTCTTTTTGTCAACATCCTGTCAAGGTTAAATGAGAATACCGAGCCCGATTATAATTATTCAACATGGCGGGCGTTGACGATGACGATCATGATGTGTTGGATGACGAGCAGTTAGATGTTTTGCTTAATTTCCCCCTTAATATACAAGAAGTAATTGATCAGGTTCTCCATAGCGATGATCCCCTGGACCGTGCCGACTTCAATCCTATAGACCACATCAACACACTGTTCCCAACAGAGCAGTCATTAGTCAACATTGATGATGTGGTTGGTAAAATGCAACTGAAAATACGAAAACTTGATGATGAAATAAGAACAGTAGTACGAGGACAGACAAATGCAGGTGAGGATGGAAGACAGGCTTTGGAAGAGGCCCAAAAGGCAATACAAGAACTTTTCTCACAGATCAAAGAAATCAAAGAAAAGGCAGACAAATCAGAGGAAATGGTGAAAGAAATAACACGGGACATTAAACAACTTGATCATGCTAAAAAGAATTTGACGAGCTCTATTACAACTCTGAATCACCTCCACATGTTGGTAGGAGGTGTGGATTCACTTTCGATGTTGGCCAAGAAAAGACAATATGGAGATGTTGCAAATTTACTTCAGGGAGTTCAAAATGTATTGGAACATTTTCAGAAATACATGGAAATTCCACAGATTAAACAATTAGCCGACAGAGTCAAATCAATTCAGTCAGATCTTGGATCACAAATTCTTGCTGATTTTGAAGAAGCTTTTCAGGGAGCTGGTGCAAAGTATGGTCCTTCAAATCAAAAACAGTTAAGAGAGGCCTGCTTTGTTGTTGATGTTTTGGATTCCAAAGTGAAGAAAGATCTACTAGCTTGGTTTGTCAAAGTTCAGTTGTCAGAATATCTGGTCCTGTTTGGTGAAAAAGAAGAAGTAGCGTGGCTGGATAAGATAGACAGAAGATATGCTTGGATAAAAAGAACCTTAGTGGACTTTGAGGAGAAGTTTGGACCATTATTTCCGGAGGCTTGGGAAGTTTCAGAGAGGATATGTATTGATTTTTGTAATATTACAAGGTCAGAACTGTCCAAAATAATGGGGAGAAGACTGCATGAAATTGATGTCAAATTGTTGCTTTTTGCTATACAAAGAACCACCAATTTTGAGGCATTGATCACAAGAAGATTCACTGGTGTAACTCTGAATGAATCACAGAATGTTCCTATTCCAAGTCCCCAGACACAGTCTACAAATCCATTCAAAGAGTCTACAAATCCATTTGAGACAGAATCCGATGGAGAAAGTGGTTCTTTAGAAGAAACAAAGGACACTGCTAAGCAAGCTGGCTCTCCATTTACCGGTATTATCTCTAAGTGCTTTGAACAACACCTGAATATTTACATTGATTCACAAGATAAGAACTTGGCAGAGCTGATAAACAGATTTTTGGAAGATTTGAGGCAGCATGGGACTCCTAGAATGGCATCAGATGAGGGTAGCAATGTACTTCCTAGTTGTGCAGACCTGTTTGTGTTCTACAAAAAATGCATGGTTCAATGCTCACAGCTTAGCACTGGACAGCCCATGATTGATCTCACAAGAACATTTCAAAAATATCTTAGAGAATATGCCAATAGAGTCCTTCTTAACAACCTACCCAAAGCTTCAAATCAGAGTGGAGGATTGACTTCAGCGTCAGGTCTGATACAAAGCATCCTGAAAGAAGGGGAGGTAACCAAGTTCACAGAAGAGGAGCAGTGTCGAATCTGTAGTATTCTATGTACAGCAGAGTACTGCATGGAAACAAGCCAACAGCTGGAGGAAAAACTGAAAGAAAAAGTGGACCCCTGCCTCTCAAGTCAGATAGATTTAAACTCCGAACAAGACACATTCCATAATGTTATATCCAATTGTATACAACTGCTAGTGCAAGATTTAGAGACAGCTTGTGAGCCAGCTCTAACTGCCATGAGCAAGATGTCTTGGTCATCTGTAGAGGCAGTGGGTGATCAGAGTGGTTATATAACGGCCATCACAGGCCATTTAAAACAAAACCTACCAGTCATCAGGGACAATCTAGCATCATCTCGAAAATTCTTCACACAGTTTTGTCTAAAGTTTGCCAATTCCTTCATTCCTAAGTTTATCAGCCATCTCTTTAAATGCAAGAACATAAACACAGTGGCTGCCGAGCAGCTGCTGTTAGACACACATTCCTTAAAAACAATTTTGCTGGATTTGCCTTCCCTTGGATCTAATGTGGTTAGAAAAGCTCCGACCAGTTTTACAAAAATCGTTATCAAAGGCATGACACGAGCAGAACATGTACTCAAGGTTGTGATGTCACCACACGCTGATCAACACAGATTTGTGGAGAGTTACTACAGAATGCTAAGTGATTCCGATCTGAACGAATTCCAGAAAGTCCTCGAAATGAAGGTTTGCAAATGTTTCTCAATTTACTTTTTTTAATCGTACTTTTTAAGGATAACTCTAGATATGGAAAAAAAAAGTATTAATCTGATTATAAAACTTACATTCAGACAGATTTTAAATGGGAAAAATGTTAATTTACACAATTTTATGATAATCTAGTAAATTTATACCGGTATATATCAGTTTCTTCTTGAAGACATATTTTTTCTATTTCATAGGGTTTGCGTAGGAGCGAACAAAGTAACCTTTTAGAAATTTATCGTGCAAAAATGCCTTTGACGGCAGCAACAGGAGGGACACATGGCGACTTAAATCCCGGGATCTCCTTACAAACCCAAACTTCTGAGCAGGAATCCAGCCGGATCAGAAAACTAGAGAGACTTATTAAAAAGAGACTTTGATACCGTACATGATATCCATTAATATATATAAATCTTTTTGTTATACAGTATAAAAAAGTGAATATGGTGATTTTTATTTTTTTATTTTCAAAATCAAATTATATCCTTAAACTTTGACCAAAAAAAGAAACACTGTTTTCATGACTTTAAGCATGATCTGTCAATCCCAAAGTGTATTGGTCATTTTATCCTGAAATTTACCCAAATGGCAATACTACTGGTATATATGTTAAATGTTCATTCTCAGTTGGTTTCATACATGTACTAGGTGTGTATATTGGAGTTCTGTCTGAAAAAAAAACAAAATAAAGGATACATGTATACTGTGTGTGAAGTTTTGGCTACCAGTAGATTGTGTAAGTTATTTGAAACACCCCCAACCTAACTTTTTTTAAATATACATGTAATCCCAATGTTTGTGAAAAAATACTTTCTAGTTAAAAACAGAGAGCAATGACCAACTAAATATATACTAGTTTTTAAAAAACAACATTTTTATGATGAAACATTCACAATTTTAATTCTATTAATCCAAGGGTCATACCACAAACATGGTTTAAATGCCACCATCTGCAGAAGATGGGTAGTCTATAGGTTAGCTTGTTTGTCTCAAAAGAGTTAGGTGATAGATTTCATTGAGATGGTGGTCATCTCAAAGGGTCCCATTTTTAGTAATGACAAGAATAGATATGGGTTACCCCATATCCAAAGATATTCGACTTTTAGATTTAATATGCTTATCAGTGTTTATAATGACGTTAATAAAAAAACTGTCATGTTTAGTTACGGAACTGGTGTAAATTTTGTGAGGTCACCCAGTCTCCTAACAAACGGTATGTGTACACATAGGCCTACATGAACCTGTGTCCGCAAGACCAACATTAGCTCGATCTAAACACGTGCGATGGAGCTGTTGAACGCATCCGGCGAGCTCGGAGAAACACGTTTTTTTTGCCGAGAAGTTACGATAGCAGACAAAACTTTTCTTTTCTTAATTAGATCATATGAATATGAATTCTGATTAATAAAAATTATACAATCCCTGTTGAAATATATATAGTTTGTTCTAACATTTGCATCTGCAACAACTTGTGTTTAAAAATGGCCGTGTTAGGAAAATCAAGACCAGATCGGAAAATTCTAAACTGAAAACCGTTTTTGTTTTGAAAATTACTGAAATATACTACTTAATGTATTTGTCGCAGAAATTACTTACATTATTCAAGTTCTATATAAAATGGTAGGACTATGCTGAACTTCAACACGAACCCGAATGTCCGACCCAGTTCTCGTTTTGCTACACATTGTTTACAAAGTGTACACACGTGAGCAGAATCCAGCCAGGGATTGAAAATTCCGTCATTTAATAATATACACACACAGAATGATTAATTTTTTCTTAAAAGGAAATTGTATGATAATTAACAGACTATAAACATGTACTTAATACAATTGTTGATATAGTATTATCAATTCATCGGTGAAAAAATATGAATCGAAGAATGACCTAAATATTCTCTATTATCAAACATGTAAAAAAAAAAAAAAAGGCTGAGGAGGGAGCGAGCGTAGGAATATTGATATTTTTTATTTGCATTTCGGGGGGAAAGTGATTTTCTAATAATATTTTGACGTTATTTTTGATTTCTTTAACGTATGAAATACACAACTTTACTCTTATCATGAACAATAATGTTGTATCTACTTAATCATGATGGAACTATTTTGGTCGGACCAATTTGTGTGAGCTGCCGCTGAAAACAGTAATATATCTTGCATTAATAGTATGAATTGATCGAATATATTAAAAATATAAGGTACATTGTAGCTGAAAAGGGTTTTGACCCTTGACCTAGAAACTTCGTTCAAGGTCACTGAACATCTATTGATAAGTGGCACTCTGTGAGTGAAGTATGAGTCGCATTGGACCAAGAGGTGAAAAGATATGCTCCGGACAAGGATTTCATATAATTCTGCTTTTACTTTAACCTTTGACCTAGAAATATATTCAAGGTCACTGCACACCCTTTACCCAAAAGGCACTCTAGCTGTGCATGAAGTATGAGCCAATTTGAGTCAAGAGACTGAACACTATAGGCCGACCCCAGAGAGAAGCCCTAACTGAGTAAACTTCTGAAGGTTTTTATGAGTGATCAGTCCGTTCATCCGAGATATCGTATCCGGAGCATATCTTCTCTCCCCTTGACCCAGGCGTGGATACAGGAATTTTTTTTTTTCCAGCGAGGGGGGGGGGGGGGTCCAAGCCAGTCAAAATAATTCCAACCCAGAAATTTCTTGACAAGCAACAAAAGAAAAAATAAAACTTCGGGGTGGGGGGGGGGGGGGGGGAGTAGTCGTTCACTTTCAAGCTACAGAGCTATGACTTTTCATACCAATTTCGCAAAGATCCATGTTTTCTAAGGGGGGGGATCCAAGGTCAATTTTAGTTGATTTAGTTTGGTACATTTAATAACTCTACAAATTACATGGAGGTGTGGACCTCACGACCCCCCATGTAGGTCCGCGCATGCCAACATCTCAATGATATCTAGTTGTATATGTTAATTTTTAGCTCACCTGAGCCGAAGGCTCAAGTGAGCTTTTCTGATCACATTTTGTCCGTCGTCCGTCCGTCTGTCTGTCTGTCTGTCTGTCTGTCCGTCTGTCTGTCCGTCTGTAAACTTTTCACATTTTCGACTTCTTCTCAAGAACCACTGGGCCAATTTTGACCAAACTTAGTACAAAGCATCCTTGGGTGAAGGGGAATTTAAATTATTAAAATGAAGGGACATATCCCCTCGCAAGGGGAGATAATCAAGAAAAGACAAAAATAGGGTGGGGTTTTTAAAAAATCTTCTTCTCAAGAACCACTGGGCCAGTAAAGCTGAAACTTATGTGACAGCATCCTGGGGTAGTGTAGATTCTAAATTGTTCAAATCATGACCCCCGGGGGAAGGGCAGGGCCACAATGGGGAATCAAATTTTTATATAGAATTATGTAGGAAAAATCTTTGAAAATCTTCTTCTCAAGAACCACTGGGCCAGAAAAGCTGAAACTTATGTGGAAGCATCCTGGTATAGTGTAGATTCTAAATTGTTCAAATTGTGACCCCCGGGGGAAAGGCGGGGCCACAATGGGGTATCAAAGTTTTACATAGAAATATATAGGAAAAATCTTTGAAAATCTTCTTCTCAAAAACCACTGGGCCAGAAAAGCTGAAACTTATGTGGAAGCATCCTGGTATAGTGTAGATTCTAAATTGTTCAAATTGTGACCCCCGGGGGAAAGGATGGGCCACAATGGGGTATCAAAGTTTTACATAGAAATATATAGGAAAAATCTTTGAAAATCTTCTTCTCAAGAACCACTGGGCCAGAAAAGCTGAAACTTATGTGGAAGCATCCTGGTATAGTGAATATTCTAAATTGTTCAAATCGTGACCCCTGGGGGAAGGGCGAGGCCACAATGGGGTATCAAAGTTTTACATAGAAATATATAGGAAAATCTTTGAAAATCTACTTCTCAGGAAACACTGGGCCAAAAAAGCTGAAACATATGTGCCCATGGAAGGATCATGGGGTAGTGTAGATTTCAAAATGTCTAAATTATGATCAGTGGGGTAGGGTGGGGATGCATTATGTATAACAAGCGGGAAATCTGGTAAAGAACAGAATGGTCAAAGCTTCTCAGGTGAGCGATGTGGCCCATGGGCCTCTTGTTTAATCAATATCTTTAAAATAAGAAATAGCAAATTATGCAATGTTAAACAAAGAAACAAATAAATACAAAAGAGAAATAATGTTTATACTCTAGTAAAAAAAAAATAAAGCTTTATATTTACAGTGTAACAGTGGTCTGTAATAAAGTCCACTTAGAATTATCCCGGATTATCACGAGATACTAGATCTAGATCGTAAACAATAAAGAACAACAACAATTATTCAGATATGATAGATGACTTTGATTTATTTAAGAAATAGTATTTGATTAATCAACAAATAACAAAACAATTCAAGTAAACAATGAAATGCAAGGGAAATGTAGTCAAGTATTTACCTTTATAGATAGAATCATTCAGCACTTCGGAATTGACCAAATAATATTACGGTAACAATATAAATATGTAGATAAATAAATAAATTGGAGACAAACTCCTAAAAACGTCTAAGTCTGGTAGTTAAAAACAACGAACTGATTAGGGACGCGGAACGGAAACGCCCGGATCCCAGACGGTGGCACCGGTTGTCAATGACAACCGCGCACCCCATCCAAGATCCAAGAGAGATAACTCTAATTAAAATATACGACTCCACTACATTCCCCCCACCTTAAGACCGGGTGTTGCTAAAACGCGGAACGGAAAACGGAACGGAAAACGGAACGGAACGGAAAACGGAAAATATTTCTCAAGCAAATAACAAAGATTCGATATAAATCAGATAACGCGCAATATTCTCGTTGTAAAAGTCACTTCTAATAAAGTTTATTGTAAACTATTATATATTTATGAGTCATACACACATACAAAATGGTACTGAAATTCGAACCCCCCCCCCCCCCACTTACACACAAAAACCATTGGCGTCGGAAGAAAATTTAAAGTGGGGGGGGGGGGGCTAAGTGCAAAAAAAATATACCTTCAAAAAAATCCTTGCAAGCAAAAAAATCCTATTTTCTAGGGGGGGGGGGGGGGGAGTTTGAACTTCAATACCATTTTTTTTTTCCAAATACAACCACTTTCCCCATTCTTAACCTATACTGCAGTGTGTCTGTGGAAAGTGTGTGTGGGGGGGGGGGGGGGCTAAACCTACGAAACAATGTTCAATGTCTATACTAAGTATATGTTTGGAAAAAAGAGGGGGCTAAGACCCCCCCCCCCTCCCCCCGGTTCCGAGGCCTATGCAAACACACACACACAATTGGATTTTCGTGTTTGGGCAAAGGACATTTCCTCCATTTTTGCTCGTCAAATTTGTTGTATGTTTGTAATTTTTTCTGACCCCCACCCCCTCTTTCAATTTGTTTCCAATGTCAATGTCTGTAACAGGCGCGGATCCAGAAATTTTTTCCAGGGGGGGTCCACCCCAGTCAAAAAAAAAAAAAAATCCAATCCCAGAAATTTCTTGACAAGCAAAAAAAAAAAAAAATGAATAAATAAAAAAATAAATAAAATAAACTCGCCAAAACGTCAAAAACTTATTTCGTGGGGGTGGGGGGTGGGGGGTGACTTCTATTGCCTCAAATCTTTCACTTTTCATACCCATTTCATACGTATTCGTGTTTACCAGGGAGGGTCAGCGTTTTCCAGGGGGGGTCCATAGTAACTTTTTTATTGTTTTAGTATACACATTTTTTAACCTGGTAAATTCCAAGGAGGGGGGGTCCTGACCCCCCCCCCCCCCCGACCCCCCGTCTAGATCCGCGCATGTGTAAAGACAAAAATAACTAGTTATGATATTCAGATTATGCACGCAGTGTCGAATTCGCAAATGATGAAAGAGGGAGTGGCAGTTTCGGGTCTGTGTAGGGACCCACAGCCACATTAAAAATTGATTTATTAAATCTTATGTTTATTTTGGAGTCAAAAAAGAGGGGGGGGGGGGGTTCAGACCTATCACAGCTTATAAGACTTTTCTGATGAGTGGGAATATTTACGGGGTCATTCATAAACCCCTCCCCCCCCCCCCGCACAACATACAAACATATGTACCTCAAACAAGAAAACAAACAAAATTTAAGTTTAAATTGAAAGATTCTGCATTATATCTTCCACATGAAAGATTTCCTACTTTGTCTATCCAGAAAACGACTCTATTTTGAATGAAATTTAACAACCAGTGAGTATGAGAGATGTTTATTCGAGCTTGCCGTTAAGATTTGCACTAAACGTGATCTTAATATTTCTTTTACATTTTATTTCTCTTTCCGTGGTTCAATAAGATATCAAATATTGCCCCCCCTCCCTAGTCATAACCTTTTTACTAAGGAAATGTTCATTCAAGTTCACATCCTCACTTTTTGTGAATGTAATTAATTTAGTAAGTTAGTGTAAAAAAATAGTACTGAAAGATGTTGAAGTTGAAACTTATCCCCCCGCCTGAATCAAACAATTGTTTTCTTTTTGTGTTTTATGCCCCTCCTGCATGAATCAAACAATTGTCTTCTTTTTGTGTTTTTGCTTGTCAAATACTTTTCAAGTTCGTTTACCCCCTCCCCCTTTTCAAATTCGATTCTAGGTGACTGCTATGCTAGCGATTTTCGTAAATAAGAGATGAGCATGACAAATTCAACTTTTATTTAATAGTGGGGGATTGAATGTGTACAAGATATATCGTTTATGATAAAATTTGTGCATTTTAAATGATTTAATCCAAAATAATATATTCCGTTTTCCGTTCCGTTCCGTTTTCCGTTCCGTTTTCCGTTCCGCGTTTTAGCAACACCCCCTTAAGACCTTATGTCGAAGACATAAGTCTCAAGATATAAAGTATGCATGACTATATCATCAATATATTAAAACAACAAATATGCAAATAAATACATCACTCAAGTCTCTCTCTCAAAAAAATGAAGAGTACATATGTAATTATACATATACATACTGCATATATACTCAGATACTCGCTCAAATAGTTAAAACAATCAACAATTTAAGTTAATCCACAACAACATTATATTACAAAACAACAGATATCTATGTAATAAATTATATCACATAAGGTTAAACTCTATAACAATATGCACATATGTCATATCTCTGTATCAACTATCAACACATTGTCACATAATAATACACATACTTGTATACTATTTATCTGTACATATATATTCAGGTATACATACAATAGAAAATAATACTAATCACAACATTGTCTTTAAATTTTAAGCACAAATTCAAATGACAAATAAATAATTTGTTCAAACTATAACTATAGTTCTCGACACAACCTCGTGCAAACTGTCCATGCACATATAGACACGGTACGACTGTCTAAATCGGAATCACCGGAAATAAAGTCACTGACACACTGGCGGAATTAAGGCGTGAATAACGTAAAATGTGGAACGAGAAAAGTCCGGCCAACATCAAGGTAAATACGAAATATAAATATGAAATGATAATGCAATGAGAATATATAATGGATTCTCCGATAGCTCACTGTACATGTATATATATATAATTTCAGGACAACACAGGAAGAAAAATATGAAGATGGACATGAAAATGGAATAATGAAAACATGAAGATGATGATGAATGACAAATGGTAAGATAAGTTGAGGTGACATACATATATAAAAACAAAAACCAACATTTATTCTTCAAAAATCCTGTAAGGCTCTAGAACAACTTTTTTACCAAGACGGTTAGACAAGCTAGTACTATTTCTCCTATAACAATTCAAACTGCCGTTCGCACTCTCAACCATCTCCAAACGCTCGTCTCTAGAAAAATATGCATTCTCACGCTCACTCTCACCCCTTTTCAAACTGTCGATCTCACTCCTCAGTCTCCTGTTCTCTCTCTCTAACTCTCGTCTCAACTCTCTCTCACGCATAAGCTCACTCCTCTCATTCAATCTTGCATTAGCTATTTCTTTTAATTTAATTAAACGATCAATTTCAACATCAATATTGAATACAAACTGTTCAAGATCTGTTTTCTCCACAGGGACGGAATGTAAGGAAAGGAATGCGTAATCCTCGGTCTGGCTCGCGATCGCGGCTGTAGTGTGTACAGGAGGAACGTCTGGCTGAGCAACTGGCGGACACGAAGGAATTCCAGATGACCCGAACTTGGAAGGCAAAGTGGGTGGCAAGGTCGCAGACGACACAACGGATGGTGTAACAACGTATGAAGGCAGCAATGGAGCAAAGATGGATGGCTGAACTGATGAAATGATAGCGGATGATGTGGCGGATGGCAGACAGGATGAACTGATGGTAGAGGAACTTGCGGAAAAAGCAGATGAGGTCGCAGGTGCCTGTGGCGGAGCAGATGCCAGGGTGCTGGTGGTCGGTGCAACTGGGAGACGAGAAACAAATTTCAGACTACCCGGATCAATGTAATTACTATTTGGTTTGAGTTCATGTCGACACAGCTGGAGATGATTTTCTAGAGGCACCTGGGACAAGTGATGAATACTGCGGAGGTGGAAACGCATATCTGTCTTTCTCTTGCAAGTAGATTTACATCCTGGGATGGAACAATGGAAAATAACATGATGGGGCTTGTGCTTCGTCTCCCAGTGCCTGGCATAACTCTTCCTGGTGGTAAAGGAGGTAAAGCCACAGGACACTACAGGACAATTCATTCCGGAATGGAACTCAAAGGGGCAGGATGAAGATTCCAGAAGTTCCGCAAGATCCTCATCGTGGACCAAAAGGTCAAGGACATCAGTGTCCATAATTGACATGACTATATAAAGTGGTGGTGATGAAAACGATGATAAGGATGGGATCAAACGATGATGATAATGATGATGATGATGAAAATGTTGTAAGGATGATCCAAATGAAACTGTAAATAAATAAACACATAGTTTGAGGAAATAGCAAACATGTTGCTTACCATTTTAAGTACATGTAAACACTAATAAAGTGTATTGTATATTTTCTTTAACAAAATTTTCTGTGAACAAAATGTATAACCCCAAAGGAAAAATCTATGAATTGCATACACTCGGACCTTTCTAAAATGTCACAATGACAACAGGTCATATATTTTACTCAATGTTGAGAATATATCTTGTCTCCTCTCATCAATCAGTTCCTATATGTAGGTAACTAACTAGTATGTATACAATAACTGTAACTAGTCAGTATACAATAACTGTAACTATTCAGTATGCAATAACTGTATAATTATGTAGGCATCAAGCTATTTAGTATACAATAACTGTAAAATAGCAAACCTATGTTCAAACAAATATTAATAGCAAATATTATGTATGTATAAGCACACAGATTGCAATAATCTGATCACTATGCTACACTGAAATATATCAGTCATGACTCAGGTACTATGACCTACTGTACTTCGAAACAATAACTTGAATTACTCCATGCATGAATACAATATCATGTACATGAGTATACCTGTAACTATTTATACATGTACCCTTGTTTACAAAAATGACCTCAAAGGGTGAGTGTATGAATTCATATATCTTAACTTTAAGTTACAATTTCTTCGAGTGATTAGTCTCAAAGACTTAATTTTCCATCTCTGTATTGTCACATAACAAATAATGAGGGTGAAGATGATAAATGAACATGCCATGAGAAAATGATATGTTAGTATAACAATAATCAACTGAAAATTTAATGCAATTCACATGCAAGTGCCTAGTTATGTACACTAATTTATGGTGAAAAACGAGTTGGAGGTTTAATTCTACGACCATGTCTTGTGTGTTGGGAACATTCCCTGTAGGATTCTTGTTCGTTTGTCATAATTTCTTGTGATTCACTACTCGAGTCATACTCGGTCTGTACCTCAAAGGTATTGTAGAGTTCATAATTGGATGAGTCTAACTCTTCTGAAAAATAGGGTTTAAGGTGGTCAACATGAACCACAACTAAAACATCTGTATTACAACACTGTATTTGATATGTGACATTACTGATTTTTCTTTTGACTTTATATGGACCACGCCATCCTAACCCTAACTTTTGCTTTGCCCAAGGAGGATACCACCTCCAAACTAGGTCACCTTCATTGAAAGTTCTGTGTTTTATATTCTGATCATGGTATTTTTTCTGACGCTTAAAACTACTTTCAAGACTTTCTCCAGCATGCTGAAATGCAGAAGACATAGCTTCTTTTACGAATTCAATGTATTCATTGATGCATGATTCTTCATAATTTGGTGGGTTACCAGCAATTATGTCAATAGGGAAGTCTATTTCACGTCCTAACATTAATAAATTTGGAGAACATTTTGTACTTTCATGAAGAGAGGCACGATAGGCCATCATGACATAGGGCAGATGGTCATCCCAGTCATTTCTATGTTTATTGACAAATAATGAAAGCATTTGTTGTAAAGTACGATTAAATCGTTCCACCATGCCATCTGATTGAGGCCGGTAAGGAGTAGTTCGGGTTTTATATATGTCAAATTTTTCACATAATTCAGAAAACAACTGAGACTCAAATTCTCTGCCTTGATCAGTGTGAATACGGTATGGGGTACCATAGCGACATATAAATTCGTTTATTAGAACATCTGCAACTGTCTGTGCAGTATGATCTTGTAGAGCAAAAGCTTCTTTCCATTTGGTAAAATAATCGCCTATGACCATTATATACTCATTATGTTTTTCTGTCATGGGTAAAGGTCCCATTATATCAATGGCAATGCATTGTAATAGTCGGTATGCGGGGCAATGCTGCATTGGGGATTTGCCTGGACCTGGCCCTGGTTTACGCCGTGCACACACAGTGCAATTTTGACACCATCTCTCTACATCAGATGACATACCAGGCCAGTAAAATCTAGCGCGTATAGAAGCTAAAGTTTTGTCGCGACCCAAATGTCCCGCTACACGTTGATTGTGTAATTGATACATAATCTCTTTTCTTATGGACTTGGGTACCACTAATAATAATTTATGGATATTTTCCGGAATACTGAACCATTGACGATATAAAATACCATCTTTTGATACAAGAGTATCTTTCAAATTCCATAATTGTCGAATTTCAGGATTGGTCCTATAAACCGGATCTAAAACATTTGTACCGCTATTTATAATTTCACTCATGGTTTTTAGAGAAGGGTCATTTTGTTGAAGTTTTGACACATAGTCATCAGACCACTTATCCAACCAGTTAGTTGTTACGTCGCGAGTCTTATGATTTGATTTTTTAGACTGTATCGCATTTACAGTAGAAATGGTGCATTCGCAGTTTTCTTGACGGCATCTACGTCTGGGCTTTCTAGACATAGCATCCGCATTTATGTGCAAAGAGCCTTTACGGTGCTGTATCTCAAAATCATAAGTATCAAGCACTGATATCCATCTGGCTATCATACCCTCGGGTTCCTTAAAATTACGAAGCCATTTTAAGGACGAATGGTCAGTACGAAGTAAAAACTTTCTACCCCATAGGTAGTGTTTGAATTGTTTAACAAAAACGACTACTGCTAGCAACTCCCGATAGGTCGTACAATAACGGCGTTGAGTTTTAGATAATGTCTTGCTGCCGTACGCAATGACTCTTTCTTCGCCGCTTTGAATTTGTGAAAGTACGGCGCCAATTCCGTCGTTCGAAGCGTCCGTATCGAGTATGAATGTATCATGACAATTTGGGTATGATAATACTGGGGATGAAATCAAAAGTTTCTTAAGTGTTTGAAATGCCTTTTCACTGGAACTATTCCATGTAAATGGAACATCTTTTTGAGTCAAACGAGTGAGTGGATATGCCACTGTAGCAAACTCAGGAATAAATTTCCTATAATATGAGGCTAGTCCTAAGAAACTTTTTATTTCTGTGACATTTTCGGGGGTTTTCCAGTCTTGAACTGCACAAATCTTTTTAGGGTCACACTTCACACCATCTTTTGACACAACATGCCCTAAGAAGGATACTTCTTCCCGAAATAAAATACATTTTTTAGGTTTAAGTTTAAGATTTGCGTCCCTGAATCGGTCAAAAACTTTTGTCAAATTTGATAACGTTTCTGTGAAAGTTTTTCCGAAAACAATCACATCGTCTAGGTAAACTAAACAACGTTCCCATTGTAAACTATGTAATATTAATTCCATTAATCTTTCAAATGTCGCAGGACTATTTGTTAAGCCAAAAGGCATGACCTTGAACTGGTAAAGTCCTTTATGAGTCGCAAACGCAGTTTTTACTTTATCGTTTTCGTTCATTGCCACCTGCCAGTACCCACTAGCCATATCAAGTGTACAAAAGTACATTGAGCCTGACAGTGCATCTATTGACTCATCAATTCGGGGTAGGGGATACGCATCTTTGACGGTTATATGATTTAATTTACGGTAATCGACACAAAATCGAGTACTTCCGTCTTTCTTTTTAACCAAAACTATGGGAGATGCCCATGGAGAAAAACTTGGTTCAATAACATCTTGTTCGAGCATATTTTGTATTTCATTTTCAGCTATTTCTCGCTGAGCTAAAGGTAATCTTCGTGGGGGTAATTTGATTGGTTTATTATTACCAGTGTCTATTGTATGAGTAACTTTGGTAGTACGACCTAGTTTTCCATCTGAACCCACGAACACGTCAGTATATCGGTATAAAACCGAAATTAGTTCGTTTTTCTCGTTTTCTGTAAGTTCAGACGAAACGTTGTCTAACATGATTTTTAAATGATCAGGTAAACATTCAGTTTTCTGAGTTTCATTACACTCTAATTGTTCGAAATTATCAACCAAATCGGTTGCAGTTGTTATACCTTGAATGGTCGCCACTTGAGTGTTTTTCTTTATTTGGACAGGTTCTGGATTAAGATTTAATATTGAGAAAAGGACCTTGCCATCGCTGACATTTACTAGGGACTTTGGAACACATATTTCCTGACCTAAACTATCACCAGAGTGAGGTTCAACTAAACCTTCTAAACTCTTAAAACGTGAATTTCCTAAATCACCCTCTACAAAAATTTCAGAGGAACCTGGAATGACTATATCTTTTGCGAGATAAACCCGCGCACAAGCAAAATTATCTTCACTCACTAGCTGGACTTGAAAATCAGGAAAAATCAATATACCTTCTCCGAGATCGAATAAAACATCATTTTTAGACAAGAAATCTAAACCTAATATTCCTGAAAGATCACCTAATTCTGCCACTATTACGGGTATATTAAACTCTTTCTTTCCCAAACCCAAAGTAATTTCAGTTTGACCATAGACTTGTAATGGTTCCCCATCTGCAGTTTTAAGTTCGGTAGACACTTTTTGTAAGTGTTGATCACAAAGACCTAGATTTCCTAAAATATCTTTTGAAATGAGTGAAACGGCAGACCCTGTATCAATCAACATTTGCATACATAATGACTTTATTAAAACATTAGCAAACCAGCATGAACCTGTCAAGGCCGATAACCGAATGCTTCCCGGTGACCGTTTCGGAGATTCATCTAATACTTCATGGACTGAACTTCCGGTCGCAAGGACAGTCCGTCGGCGTTTGGGTTATTCTTTGGAAACTGGTGCGATGAGTTAGCTTTGTCATTTTGCTGTGGGAAATTGTGAGGTCTTTCTGGACATTTTCGACTAATGTGGCCAGATTTGCCGCAGGTATAACACCTGATGGTTGAATTCACGGTATTTTTGAGTTTTGAACTGGATTCGTTAGTACGTTTTAATTCGTTTACCGCAGACTGAAGTTCTTTCATGGTTTTTGTTATTTCAGACAAAACTGATTCATCTGCCGCGTAAGAGTTTGGAGTTTTCTGAGTGCCTTCTTTTTGTACGGCTCGGACGTTAGATTGATTCAAGAAAAAATCTTGTTCAAAATTACGCGGTTTGAGTAATGTCTTGTTATGCGCTCCGTCAAACGCCTCAAACTCTACTGCCAAGGAAATGGCTTTATCTAAAGTCGAGGGGTGTGCAAACTGCACATATTTCTTTAGTTCTATGTCACCGAGACCACTGATATATTGGTCAATAACTAAATTTTCGCGACTTGACATCGGTATGTTAGGAAACGCACGATTTGCCAAACGATTAAGCGCATACCCATAATCTGAGACGGATTCTCCCCTGAGTCTTTTTCGAGCCCTAAATTCGCATCTATGTGCGGTTTCTCGTTCAGAGGGACAAAACCTCTGTGCTAGAGAAAATTTAAGACACGAAAAATTTGATAATTGTTCCGGTGCTAATTCACTAAGTATTCGTTGTGCGGTGCCACGAAGCGACATGGCTAACTGTATGGCCTTCTCGTCATCTGACCATTTATTCCACAAAGCGACCTGTTCAAAATGTGTTAAATAGTCGGGCCACTCTACATTTTTCCCATCGAACTTATCAGGTTCTTTTTCTTTTCTAACAACATTGAATGAATTTTGAGAGGGAATTTCTGGGCGTTGGACTTTGTGTTCAAAACACGGGGTTGAATGTATTGGTGTATGAATTGATTGTACACCGGAAGCTTCCGCAT